ATGGTGCTGGTCTTAGTGGATGTTTGCATGTAGAAGAATGCAAATATATCCATATTTATCACCTGCACAAAACTCAAGTCCAAGTGGATCAATGACCTCAACCTATAACCAGATACACTGAACCTGATAGAAGAGAAAGTGGAGAGTAGCCTTGAATGCATCAGCACAGGAGACAACTTCCTGAACAGACCTCCATAGCACAACACTAAGATCAACTATTAGTAAATGGGACCCCATGAAACCAAAAAGCTTCTGTAAGGCAAAGGACAAAGTCAGTTTGAAAAAATGGCAGCCTACAGCATGGGAAAAAATTTTCACCAACTCCGCATCTGACAGAAGGTTAATAGTCAAAATATGTAAAGAAATCAAGAAAATAGTCATCAACTAATCAAATCATCCAACTAAAAAAATGTGGTACAAATCTAAACAGAGAATTCTGGATAGAGGAGTCTCAATTGGTTTAGAAACACTAAGAGAAGTATTCAACATCCTTAGCCATCAGGGAAATGCAAACCAAAACTGCTTTGAGATTCTATCTTACGACTGTCAGAATGGCTAAGATCAATAACACAGGTGACAGCTCAGGCTGGCTAGGATGTGCAGTAAGGGGAACCCTCCTCCATTGCTGATGGGTGTGCAAACTTGTACAGCCACTATGGAACTCAATATGGCAGTTCCTCAGAAAATTGGGAATTGATCTACCTGAAGACCAAACTATACCACTCCTGGTGGTATATAGACACAGGATGCTTTATCCTACCATAAGGACACTTGTTCAGCTTAGTTCATAGTAGCTTTTTTATCACTGAATAATAGCCAGAAACTGGAGCAACTTAGATGTCCCTCAACAGAATAATGGATAAAGAAAATGTGGTACATTGCACAATGGAGTACTACTCAGCTGTTAAAAAACAAGACATCATGAAATTTGTAGAAAAATGGATGAAACTAGAAAATAATCATCCTGAGTGAAGTAACCCAGACCCAGAAAGGCAAACATGGTATGTACTCATTTATAAGTGGATATTAGCTGTTAAGTAAAAGATAATCATGCTACAATCCACAGACCTAGAGAGGCTAATCAACAAGGAGGGTTTAGGCGGGCCACTTGGATTTCCCTGTGAAAGGGAGGTAGTGTTGTGGAATATTTAACAATGTAAAGATGTGTGGCATTTGTTTATGCTGTAGAATATTACTTTAATTGTGTAAAGGTGTATTACATTTGTTTCTGCTGCATTTGTTTAAGGATGTAAGGATGTGTTGCTGTTGCACCTTGCCTGCCTAAGGCACTTGATTGGTCTAATAAAGAGATGAATGGCCAGTAGCCAAGCAGGAGAGGGCAAGGCAGGGCTGGTGGGCAGAGGGAATAAATAGGGGGAATCTTGAGAGGAAAGAACAGGAGAAGAAGGAGAAGGAACAAGGAGAAAGAGGGGGACACACCCAGAGCCAGAAGCCAGGCAGCTTCCAGACAGACACAGAGACAGCAGGACAAGTAGGACATACTTATAGAAAATGTAAAAAGTACCAAGGCAAAAGGTAGGTAAAGACAAACAGGTTAATTTAAGTTAAAAGAGCCAGCCAGAAATGAGCCTAAGCTAAGCTGAGCATTCATAACTAATAAGAAGTCTCTATGTCTTGATTTGGGAGTTGGTTGGTGGCCCCAAAAGAAAAGGGCTGCTGCAAGATAGAATAGAGTTTGGGGATGGACTGGGGTCGGGTTGGGATGGGAAGTGGAGAGATCAATCAGGTGAGAGGGGTTGGAGGGAGAGCATACCGAGAGAGATGACTGGAATTTGGGGGCGATGTGGAAACCTACTTGAATCTATGAGGGTGATGCTAGAGGAGGTGCCTTGGGAGATGAAGTGCCTGAACTGTCCATCTACTGTAACCAGTCAAGGCTTCCAGTCATGGGACTGGGACCCCAACCCAGTCATAAAACCTTCAACCTACAATTTGTCCTGCCTGCAACATGTGTTGGAATAATGGTGGAGCAGAACATGCAGGAGTGGCCAGCCAATGACTGGTCCACTTGAGGCCCATGCCTGACACTGCCTAGATGGCCAAGAACCAGAGGCTGGATGGTCCAGAGACCTAGGGTAGAACCAAACATGACTGGCCAAAAAAAAAAAAAAAAAAGGTCAGTGAATGTGAGGGCCCACAAAAGCTTCCTAGTGAGAGCTGAGCATGCCTTAGACAGCAGGGCTGCATTAGGGGATGTCTGGACCACATGCGTGGCCACCAGGTGTCTGGAATGGTCTACACTTGCCTGTGCTGTGGGGAGGTCTTTTACTCCACCCCTTGGCATTCCTTTAAAAGCCCTGTAGTAGAGACAGAAGGAGGTGGTGGGTAAGGACCCAGGCCCTCCCGAGGCTATTCTGTGTTTTCTGTCTCTCTCCTCTATACATTTATCTACATATTCCTCATTTCTCCCTGCTCAACAGTACCCAGGGGGAATAAGAGGCAACTGGTCTCCCTCAAATGAAATGATTCCTAATGATATTCTGCTATGCTCACAGATTGGTGCCTAGTCCATTCATCATCAGAGAGGCTCCTCCAGTGGCTGATTGTAACAGATGCAGAGACCCACACCCAAACATTAGGTTCAAGGAACCCTGCAGAAAGGAGGTGAAAGGATATAGGAGCCAGAGGGTTCAAGGACACTGGAAGAACATGGTTGTCTTAGTTAGGGTTTCTATTGCTGTGAAGAGACACCATGACCATGGCTACTCTTCTAAAGAAAACATTTAATTGGCGTGGCTCACTTACAGTTTCAGAGGTTCAGTCCATTATCATCATGACCAGGAACATAGGGGCATGTAGATAGATGAGGTGCTGGAGCTGAGACTGTTGTATCATGCAGGCAATGGGAAGTTGACTGACTCACTGAATAGAATTCTTAGCATAGGAACCCTCAACGCCTGCTCCCACAGTGACACACTTCCTCCAACAAGTCCATACCCACTTCAACAAGGCTACACTTTCTAATAGTGCCACTCCCTATGAAATTACGGGAGCCAATTACATTTAAACTACCACAGTGGGCAATAGAACCAACAAAGCAGGCCTCATAGTGGCTCACAGAGACTGAAGAGACAATCAAGGAGTGAGCAGGGGTCTGCACTAGATCCTCCCCATACATACTGTGGTTGTTTAGCTTGGGGTTTTTGTGGGACTCCTAACAGTGGGAGTAGGGTTATCTCTGACTCGTTTGCCTACTCTTGGGACCCTTTCCCTCCTTCTGGGTTGCCTCCTCCAGCCTTTATATGAGTGTTTGTGCCTAGTCTTTTTGTATCTTGTTAAGCCATATTAGGTTGGTCTCCCTGGGGTGCCTGCTCTTTTCTGAAGTGAAGTAGAGGAGAAGAGGATCTGGGGGAGGCAGAGGGTGGGGAAGACTGGGATGAGAGGATGGAGAGGAAATTTTTAGTGGGATGTAAGATATGTGAGAAGTATGTAAAAAAGTACAATTCACTAGTGGTGCTGTTCTAAATAGGGTCACAAGGAACTTAAATAGGGTCACAAGGGTCACAATGAAATGTCTGACACTTCAGGTGGAGTGGCCAGTGTGGTAAGAGCTTTTTCAGCTGAGGACTCAGAGGCTTTCAAAGAGAGGATTCATGGAGTTGGCGAGTTGACAAGTGGCACTGGCTTGTTTGTCTGTCTCTCTGAATTTTCAGTATTTACACCACTATCTGGATCTGTTTTTTATTATTATTTATTATTATTATTATTATTATTATCATTATTATTATACCTTTAGAAAGTCTAACAACAGGCCAGGTCTGTGGTTTGAATGTGAAGCAGGCTACAGCCACTCTGCTTGCCTTTCTCCTGCATACCTCCTTTTTTAAAAATACAATTTATTTAACTTCATTTTATGTGCATTGGTGTGAAGGTGTCAGATCCCCTGGAACTGGAGTTACAGACAGTTGTGAGCTGACACGTGGGTGCTAGGAATTGAACCCGGGTCCTCTGAAACAGGAGCCAGTGCTCTTAACCTCTGAGCCATCCCTCCAGCCCCTCCTGCCCACCTCCTTCATGAGGGTTCCACATGAGGTACAATGAAGACCACAGCACCGGAAGGTTTCCAACTTTCTTCCAATTCCATACACTGCTTTTCTGAGCCAAAGAAGATTATGCCCGTGTCACTATAGAATAGAGAGAATTGAATCATTTTTATAACATTCCTTTTTGTGTGTGAATTCCAAATATAGATCCATTTGTGCCACACTGACCTGTCTAGTGAAATGAGAGAATGAGGGTGAAGAAGGAGTCTACTGTGTACCTGATAGAAATCAGGATCTACAAATGTTGATTGATGATGTCAAAAAGTTACTTCCAGCCTAGCATCCCTTGGATCCCTCTGGTTCATAAACTGCTATAACTCATCTTGCCCGCAAGGGGAAGCAGAGTTTCCAAGCTGAGCCAGGGCTGTTGAGTGACTGGAGGTCATAGCTGAGCCTCTCCTTGGAAGACTTGGGTTGGAACAGGGCTCCCAGCCTGTCCTAGGTGGGAAGGATGAGCATCAGGTGACTGGCAGTCTAAGTCTAAATGGACTAAGAGGTAGAGGAGATTCCAAGTGTTTGGAACTGATAAATGAATAAAAGGCTGGTTTAAATCAGGACTGAGGAGGTGGGGCTGGAACAGAATCTACTGGTGGCTAGAGGAAGTCATGTGAAAAACACTGGAAGGCCAGCAAGGGGGACAGAAGTTGCCTGAGACTGTGCTGGGTGGGGAAATGGCAGCCAGGTTAGCCTGTGGCCACCAGAGGGATATCTCAGCCTTCCAGACTGCAGACAGTTCAGGTGGTGAGAGCCATCTGACTGGCCAGAGAGATGGGAGGTCCTAGAAACAAGAAACTGAATGCCTTCTAAATTCCCAGAGTCCAATCTCCCTTCACCCCAATGCCTTATTAATTCTCTGGCAAATTGGAGGACTCGATGAAGGTGGTTTAGAAATGGTAGGGCTTTTTCTGGTCCTGAGGAGGTTCTTTTGTGGAGAGCTAAGTATGAAAAGGAATGACTGAGTGTAGACTCCTGATTGTGTTGTAAGAAAACCAACCTTGAAGAGCTGAGTATTAAATTATGCATGTAGTTGGATATCGTGGCACATCCCCTTAATCTCATCCCTTGGGAAGCATATGCAGCAGATCTCTGTGAGTTTAAGGCCGGGGAGGGCTACATAGTAAAGTCCAGGCAAGCCAGAGCTATATAGTGAGATCCTATCTCAAAAATAAAAACTGCTCTCTCTGTATTCTCTCTGTAATTACCTGCTGTGTGGTCTCTCTGTCTCTCTGTTTTTGTTTCTCTGTCTCTCTGTGTCTCTCTCCTCCTAATAAAGCTCTAAAAAGGTAAAAAATATATATAAAAATAACAAATTAAATAAAAACAAACAACCCACTAACCCCACCATGTATGGGGTGGTGAATATGTGGAATTGTCTAGCCTGAAGTTCCAGGTGGGGAAGGGGCTGGGGAAAAAGGAGGAAGAAAAGCCCAGAACTGACAGGCGAGGCTGCCTGGACCACCGAGTTTCACACGAGAGAGGCTCAGACAATAAAGGACTTCAGCTGAATTCACCGAGGAGATCAATTTATTATGAGTTTTCACCTTTGCTGCCCACTCCATGTGGTTCTGGCCTGTGGCCAGACAACCTGGTAGGAACAGCTGGTTTTAGCACCTGTTAGAAGGCTTCATGCTTCTTTGTATCCACGGCAGGAAGGACACAACCTTAGTGAAGATTCCTGGAGCGATGCTCTTGGCTTTTCCATAGGATAAAACTCCATAAGCTCTGTTGTCACACACAAGGGGTCCCCCAGAGTCACCCTGTGTGCAGGGAAAGGAAGAACTGAGCCTGGTTCCCTTGGCTCTGCTGTCTGTACCTCCTCCTGGAAAGGTTAACTGTTAGATCGGGTCCAGGACAGGTTTTCAAACTCCCTCAGGATCAGGGTTCCAGGGAGACCCAACTTTTCCTTCTAGCTCAGTCCAAGGCTCTCCTTGAAGTCCTCAGGGAGACTCTGGGAAAATTTATGGTGCTTTGGGATGGTGGATGTTTCCCAACTTCCACTCTTCCTAACCCACGGAGGGACTCAAAGCTGAACTCTTGGGATGTCTCTGCTCTTATTTGGGACTTCAGGGTTTGGCCATTCTCACTCCCAGGTCTCTCCCAGGTTCCTCTCTCCCTGCATTTTGCCTGTTAAATGCTTGATCCTCACCTTGAAAGCAGCCTGTATTTGCTTTGGGTCTCCAGCACAAATCTGTTTGGTCTTGATGTAGTAGCGGAAGAGGCGTTTGCATTTCTGGTCATCCTGTATCATCAATTCTGCCTCTTGCAGGAGATCCGTTCCTTTAGTGGCATGGAGAGACTTTCTCCCCCAGCCAGCCAGGTGGCACACATACCCTGGCTTCAACTGGGCATTGGCCCTGGGCAGCTTGAGTGGCCTCACAGCTTTCGTTCTAATGGCTTTTCTCTGCAGCTGATAGGGAAGAGGCAGGAGAGACCAGCTCAGCTAGGAGTCTGCTGACCTGGGACACTTTGACAACCAGGATGGCAGGGAAGGAAGGAGCAGGATGAGAGCAGGACGGGACAGGCTAGTTTTGCATCAAGCAGAGCAGAGGCACCAGGGGTGGGTGAGGGGTGGATGGAGGTGTGGATGGGTGGTGGCAGGTCTCACCTTCAAGAGCATGATGTCACTGGAGCGGTCCTTGGGATGGTAGTCTGGGTGTGGAATGGTTTCTGCCACAGGGATGATCTGCTGGGTCTTCTCCTTTGTCTCGATGTTGTGGGCCCCCAGAGTGACTCTCATTGAGCTGTAGAGAGCAGAGTGGAGATGAGAGATGTGGAGGGAGAGAGGACACAGTCCAGGAGGTGTAAAAGGCAGGGAGGGGCTCTAGCTGAGGGGACTTGAGGAGACAGGAGAGCCTCAGGGTTTGACCTGCTGCTCTGCTTCTCAAGGACATAGAGTCCTGGAGGCTCCCTCTTGCTTCTAGGAAATACTCCAAAGTTTGCACAGACTCTCAATGCATCCTTTCAACCTCAGCCACTGCTCCAGTCTGGCCAGGGTAGCTACTTTCTCCTCACCTTCCCAGGCAGTGAGCAGCTGTCAGCATGAAGTTGTTTGATACCAGGAAGCCGCCGCAGCGACTTCTATTCCCATCGACATCCACATACTTAATAAATGTCATGTATGGGCAGGAATGGGGCTTGACCTCATGTCAATTTTCTATGAAAGAAAAGGCTAGAATGTGGGGTGTCTGGGAGCAGCAGTTGAGGTCAGGAGGGAATATCCAGGGAGAAGGTGCAGGCTATGGGATCTACAGTCCCCCAGGCCTGTGGAGGACAGAATTCCTTACACATAGAATAATCTTTGTGGGATCTTTAGCCTCAGAGCCCTGTTCTGAGAAGGGGTGGGTGGCACTTTTCCTCCAGCCCCTGCTTTACAAATACATGGAGGGACCAGCTCTATCTTCATGATGACAGAGGCCAAGAGGATTCTGGGAGTCTTGCTATTAGTCTTTCTGTGTTAGTGAGTCTCCGTGACACCTCTAATGGCTTGATTTGTGACAGTTTGTCACTTTTGCCCCCAAACTCTATAGAGAGCAAGTTTCTAAAATTCTCCTATTCTGGTGGCCAATACATCCTGTGTTCTCAGTAAATGCTTTGGTTGCATGGATAATGACTTCCACTTGAAGGGCTCATGGTTCAGAGCTCATGGGATTCATGGCCTAGGGGACGTTGGAATAGTGTGATAGCAAAGATGGGAACAGCTGGGGACCTGCAGAAAGAAGTGGAGAGGCCACCAAAACAAGACTGCAAAGCTAGTGGAATGTGGAATGCAGGCATCTTGTCACCCTGGGCCTTTTTCTTCAGCAGGCTGAGGGCAGAGGTTACTAAATGATGATAATATTCTTGAGCCAGTGGCCTTACCCCATTGCAGGCTGGTCATTAAATTTGCCCTTGCCCTGGGCTCTAGTAAAGTTAATGATGTACTTCTTAATATCTTTTCATTCTCTGCTGCTTTTCTTTTAGGAATTATCATCTCTCCAGGTGATGAAGAAGAGCAGGGAAAAGCTAGTGCCCTCTAAGTCTTCTGAGGACACCTCCCTTCTTCAGACCTTGTTGAACATCTAGCCAGTGACAAATTTCCAGGTCTGGATGTGATATGGGCCTTGAGATTCAGAAACCTCCTGGTTCAGTGCAGGACATTTCCTGACTAAGCTGAGCAAAGAATCTAAGAGGTATTATGGGATGGCACCTCTGAGACCGGGATATTCACTCACCTCCACCAGCTCCAAGCGGCAGAAGAAGGGTCAGGAGAATCAGCACTGGTGGCATCTTCCCAGGATGATGCTCAGGTTGGAAGAGAGCAGAGTAGACACAGTCCTTGAGGGGATGAAGGAGGTCAGTGCTCAGTGACCTCACAGGCATTGTACAATAGTGCACCTCTTCGCTGATTGTCTTCAGTAGTTAAGGAAGTTTTCTGGTGTGGGTCAAAATGACACTGTCACCACATTGACACCCTATGAGCTAAGTGGGAATACAGACCAAGAAAAGAGGATGTTTAGGCTGTGGCTGAGGAGGGCCTGAGACCCAGTGAAGTCCAGTGTGACTGCCCTGAGAAAATAGTGTGTCCTTTCTTACATTTTACATTTTTTTCCATTCTCACAGGATCTCTTTTGTTGGACCCTGCCCTGGTTCCTTGGGGAGCTGTTGCCTTGCTTGCTGACCTTGATTAGATGTCCTCCCTATGCTAATTCCCTGCTGGTGTCCTTATTCCTAAAACAGCTTACCTGAGGTTCCTTGTTTGTGTATCCTGCTTTTGGTGTAAACAGCTAGGATGCAAGTGTGTAAAACATCTGTAGCAAACTTCTGCCATCTGGGGTTCTCCCACTGTGCTGTAAACCTGTATTTAAGGCCTCTGCCCTCCTTCAATAAAGGGCATTTTGGCATTTTACTGAGAGGAATGACCCACTGTCTTGTCTCTGTTTTTAATCCTCAGCCCCTCGATCAGACATGGTGAACTGGTGGTAGCATGGGCGCTACACTCTTTAATTTCTTTGGTCTTTTATTCTTTCTTAAAAAAATAATACTGACACCCAGCCTAGCCACCCTGCATAAGCCCCAGGTTTCAAACAGCCAACTCATGCAATGAGCACAGCACACTGAGAAGCCCAGGTATTCTTAGGAACAATGGATGAAGCAGTAACTACAAATGTGTAAATATCAGAGGTATTTCCTAACACCATTTTTTCTATCTTTTTCCATTTTCCTGGATTCCTGTTTATTTTTGTTTTGGAATTATGCTTCAGAATAGGTGCATCTCTTATGACTGAAATCTGCATAATGATTCTGTATCTGTTATGTTTAAAATAAATACAAGGATGTCTTGGTTGTGTTATTCTCTACCTACCACTCTGTTCCCTAGGTAAAAATGATGCTTCTCTGAAGAGCTTCCCAGTAGAAGCTAATACACTATTGTCATTTCCAAGCCTGATACACTTCAGTGCACACTGATGGGAAAGTAGAGATTTCTAGTTCTTTTGTCCTTGTGGATGTCAAAGACTGACACAGGCCATGGGACCGTAATGGCCTCCTACCCTAGAGTCCAGCAGGGACTGAGATGGACATGCTCAGAGGGGATCCTGCTGCTGAGTATTCCTGCAGCTGTGGGTGCTGAGCACACAGGAGGAACTGAGCTGACTGGGAAGAGCTTCCCTAGGTCTGAGCATGTGGGAGGTGGGGTACAGGGTTTTGGAGAAAGACGCTGGGAGTCCTGGCTTCCATGGACCCTCTGTGATGGAACTGCTGGCCTAGACCTTTGAGAGGTACCTCTCTGACAGGACCTAAGCTGGGCTGGCACCACAGGGCTGAGCCCCTAAGGCAAGGAACCACACATGGCTTCGGTTGTAGAGGAATAAGAGGTAGGGATGTGCTCAAATCTGCATGGTTGTAAAGCACAGAAATTGTTAGACTCATCTGAGCAGCCATGATGGAGAAGGACATAGAGCCAGGAGGGTGGACCGAGGTCGGCCCTGGTTCCAGAAGAGGATAGGGAAACTAATTCCAGATGTGGAACAGCCCTT